AATTTTTTAATAATGATGAAAGCAGAACACCTAGGCTACAGAAAAATAAAATTGTTTATCATGTATTAAAAAACTTTCTGAATGTGAACATATTTGAAAATTTGCATGAACATCAATTTGATAATTTGCCTAACAATTGTAATCATTTAATAGAACTTGTAAGGGCTGAATGTGAAAAGTATATCGATGTACGAATAAATCATGAAGTCAAATTATTTAATTCGGTAAAATCTACGAAAAGACAAATATTAAATAAATTAATATTATTTAGAGGATAATAAATATATTTAAATTATTTTGTAGTTTTATTTAATATGACACTAAAATATTCTATTTTCTGAATTACAAACTTAAAATTGAATATTTATCATAAGATGCAATATAATGTTTAATATGTAATAAAAATATTACTTAATCCGGATCTGCTTAAAGATGCGCGCAAACAGATTGCCTTCCACACTCCACTTCCCCGGATTTTGCATTCACTGGTACCCGTGCATTGGAATTAGATATGGCCAGTCTAGGTGGTCTGTAGTAATTGGTTTCTTTTTCTATGCACCTAATCTAACCTAGAATCTGACATTCGCTTGAGAATGACCTCTTGTGTCATGTCTAAATCTAACCTCATTTTGATGTATTAATTTAACTAATTTACTATTTTACTTTAAGTTAGGCTCACATTCATTTTAATTCAGGTAAGTTTCAACACCATCCATCAATACCGGTATCATTTTATCAATTTCAATTCATTTTGGTTACAATCTTAATAGTGTAGGGGTAAATATTTTGTTTACAAAATGAACAGATATATTTTTAGTTTAGAGATTATCTTAATATACTTACTTAGTGATATAATTTATCTTTTAATATGTAAGTTAAAACGTTCCTTTGCATCGTTTCCCATTCATTACTTTTTGTAGCCAAGTGATTGTTGTTAGTTTAGAGCCTTTAAGATGAGGGTAGTAGCTCTTATAAGCGGTGGCAAAGACAGCACATTCAATATGATGCAGTGCATTGCTGCCGGTCACGAAATAGTAGCTTTAGCAAATTTAGTACCGCATAGTAGGACAGAGATAGACAGCTATATGTACCAAAGTGTAGGACATGAAGCCATAGATCTCATCGCAGCCGCTATGGACTTGCCTTTATATAAAAAAGAAACTTTAGGTAAGTTTATAATAATTTGTAAGAAATATTTATAATCATTTTGCATCTGCAACATAAAACTCCTTTTTAGGTATTTCTAATGAGAAAGGCAGGACATATAAACCCTCGGAAAATGATGAAGTAGAAGATCTGTATTTGTTACTTGAGACAGTGAAAAATGAAATATCTGTTGATGCTGTCTCAGTGGGTGCTATTTTATCTGATTATCAAAGAGTTAGAGTAGAAAATGTGTAAGTAATTCATATTTATTGCCGAGAATCATATAAAACTTGATTAATATTACATTTTAGGTGTAGTAGATTAAGACTTACACCTTTGGCATATCTTTGGAGGCGGAATCAAGAGGAACTCCTGGACGAGATGATAAAATGCGAGGTGGATGCGATTGTGATAAAAGTGGCAGCCCTGGGCTTGGAATCCAAGCATCTGGGGAGGTCATTGAGCTTACTTCAGCCCCATTTGATAGCGATGCATGAGAAATACGGGTTAAACGTGTGCGGGGAAGGCGGAGAATATGAGACTTTGACTTTAGATTGTCCACTCTTCAAAAGCAGGATAGTTGTGTAAGTGGCATTAATATTATTTAGCATTTTTTCCAAATACATATTTTTTGTAGTGATACAATAAAGATAGGGTTTATTTTGCAATGTTTTAAATAAGCTATATAAGAAAGATTTTCTTTATTGTACAATTAAATAAATAGGGATTGAAGTTGATCATAACAAGGAACTTAATAACGGCAATTTTCATAAATTCATGTTATCAAGCTAACGAGTAGATTAAAAACTAATAAATTATAATTAGTATTTAATGCTGATTAGAAAATGTCTTTAAATAAATCTGATGTGCTTTGTCATATATCTTTGTTGTAATTGTAAAAAAACTAAAATGTATTAACATGAATTTTTAAATGTAACATTTTTTCAGCAATTGACCAATTGAAATTTTATGTTACAATGTTGTATGAAGCAGTGAAAATATTGATTTTCTTTCTTTTTCATTTTCTTATTTTCCTCATCAAAGTTTGTTTTTAGTGAAGATTCTGTTGTGATACTACATTCTAATGATCCCATAGCCCCCGTAGGATATCTGAAGTTCAATAAGCTGGTACTGGAGATAAAATTGCCAGCGTTGGACCTCCACAGTCGCTTAGAAGGTTTACCGTTAAAGGACAGCGATGGCTACGTCACTGATCAAGGGGAAGAAGCTTTTGAGATTATAGAAAATGAAGAGGGTATGTAAAACATATTTTTACTTTGACTTCTACAATGTTTTCTAATTTACCTTCATGCAGCACTGAGAATTTTATGTAACGAGAACCATAATGTTTATAATTTGCTTCAAACAATTATTGCTTAATAAAAATGTTGGAGAATAAATGCGGAATCCTAGGATAATTTCAAAATAAACAATTTCTTTTGATAAACTCTAAATTTGATGATATAATAAAAAAAGGTAATTGTAACATGTAATCAATAAACCTCGTAACATTTATCTGGATTATGTTGAAGGTATGATTAGCAGTCGTAAATCTTTATGATTAAAATATGTCGTTTTATTTCGTAATTTATTGAAAAAATATGAACAGAAAGTGACCTAGAAAGATTATTCTACAAAATATTCACTCTGCAATATACAGGATATCACTTTGAATAAGGGTTATATTTATTCACATGCTACCTTTGAAATGAAATCATAACTTTGTTTTTGTTATGCAAACTGATTTTTTTAACCTTGTTTCATAATTTGCATACCATGCTACTGGATAGATTAGAGTAAGATCAAATAAAATACCCTAGTCGCTAGTGCATATGTACCCGACTCCCTAACACCTTGTTTTCATTCATGATGTGGATTGTATTGTAGTTTACCTAATCTGTCAATGTCGGAGGTGATTAACACTGAGATTCACAAACTAAACACAGTGCTTTAAGAAAATAACAACAAATACATACTAACATATTTATAAAAAAATTAATAGTAGTTCCTCCTCTTTTGTGACAATTTGATGCCTCATTTGTAAAAATCAGTCATTTCATAAAAAAATTACACTAATTCTGTAAAGTAAAGAATTTAGTTACAATTTAGAACTGCGTTTCATATATACTTTAATTTTTTCACAGACGAACCTAAATATAATGAGACTGCAACAAATTCCTCGGAAGTCAATTATTTAAATGAGACAATAGCCCAAAGGCCAACTATAACCACCAAAAAAAGTAAGGAAGGTTGGTTGTGGTTGGGGGGAGTCCAGGGTACCTCTTTGGATCCCTCGGAAGCAATGGACGAAGCCATGAGTATTTTAAAGTGTAGGTATGCATAGATATAACGTTGCATGTAATTTTTGTGACAGTTTTTATACTTAAGTGTCACTTTTTATATAAAAAATTTCAATCTCCGAATTGGCGTGCTGAGAGGAGACGCAACATTTTTGATGACTTGTATTTTCCAAAAAGATAAACAAAAAGTAGTTCAAATGTCCCAACTCAATTTTTGAGAAGAATTAGACATAAAATCGAGTTATTTTCTTTGATGTATAACTCTTAATATGTTTGCTCTTTACAAGGCCTACTTGGTTGTTTTAGAAGGAAAAATTTGTTAGAAACCAATTTTTAATAAAGTAGAACTGTTTCACAAATTATAAAATTTCAACTCAACAGTTTTCTTGTTTAACACCTGTGGCTTAGACAATCCGAGAACACCCTGTAGATATTAAATGTTTTAGAAAAATATTAGCTAATATGTTTTTCTCATTTGGCATAGAATATTATTGATTTTAAAAGATCAAATTAGGTATATTCCTGACAATTGATTAGGAGGCGCCACCTTGTGTATGTTTTTTCATTTAAAACTAAAGACTTGTACATTTGAACACAATCAGAATTTTTTTACAAGGATGACTTTTCCATAAAACGAACAAATGACAAATGACTCTTTTCGAGTCTATCTGTGGAGGCATTGAATATATGCAGTTTATTGATTAAAAAAAAAGACAAAACATTCGACATTACAAAAAAATTATAAAAAATGAAAAATACTCTGTATGTCTTAGATGACTCAAGATATTCAAAAATTTTCCGTGCCATTCTATTTCTCTTAAAAATCAAACTAAGACATTTGAACTACTTTTTATCTACTCGAAATATACAGAAAAAAACAAAATTGTTGAATTAGCCTTGCAAAAACACCTTGAAAAAACATTTTTTGGCAAATTTCGACTACAAATTTTTTATAAAAGCATGAAACTATCTCCACTTTCTAGCTCTCCTGTCAGAAAACATCCACACTGTCCAAGACGTGTGCTCCATAAGCATGTTCGTGAGTGACATGTCCCAGTATGCCGCATTAAACGAACTCTATGTCGAAATGTTCAACCACGTCAACCCGCCCAGCAGGGCGTGTGTTCAGGTCCCCTTCGACCAAACCTGCCCCGTCAGGATCGAAGCCCTGTCCTGGAAACAGTCGACCAAATCGTCTGGTGACAGAATTATCGAAAGGTGGCGACATTAAATTACAGGATTTGCAGGTGTTTTACTTAAAATTCTTTCAGACACACGATGCATGTGCAGAGCAGGTCGCACTGGGCACCCTCCAATATAGGCCCCTATAGTCAGAGCGTCAGGGTGGGCGACTTTGTGCACTTGGCTGGTCAGATAGGGCTGGTGCCAGGCAGTATGGAGATGGTCGCAGGAGGCATCAAGTCCCAGTGCCAGCTGGCATTGAGGCATCTGAAAAGGCTGCTGATGGCCGTGGACTCCAATTTTAATCTGAGGGATGTCGTACAGGTAATCATCGTAAAAAATACTCATTTTGTGACCTCCAAAGTGAAGGGCTAATGCAAACTATGAAATAATATCTTCTCTTACACAAATTGATCTCTGCCGTTATTTACAGGGTATTTGTTATGTGACGGACATCTCTTATGTGGAACGTTGCAGGAAACTGTGGGAAGAGAGGACTAACAACGCGATAGTCGATTATGTGGTCGTCACCGGACTACCCAGGGATGCTTTGGTGGAGTGGCATGTTTGGGCTCACAAGTACAACAACCAGTTTGAATGTAAGTTTACATAAATATATTGTATGCTGCCGTTATATCTAGTTTGGTATATGAAGCGATAATCAAATAGTTCTAACGTCTTGAGCTCGATTTTTGGGAAAAATTTGATGACGGAAATATCATAGTTGATTTAAGAAATATATAATTTTCTCATTTTTGATCATTTATTTGAAATGTTTAATAACTAAAAAAATTTCTAGTTATTTGACACCACCAAATTTCCTGCACCTTTAACAAATTAAGTATTGATGTGTTTTTCTGTAGAATTTTTTCTGAAAGTGTTCAAATTAGCCCACTCTATACATATCTGGTTTTACTAAAATGTTACGTCTTAGAATTTTTGTGAATCTCTTTTCAGATGAAGAGCGCGGCAAGTGCGTCGACAACTTCTTCATCTCCATCTATCGCCGCTGGAACTACGACAACAACATCGCCGCAATCCTCTGCCGGGTAGACCATCCACAAAGCGCTGCGACCCTTGACAACAAAATATTCACCGAGGCCATGGACTATACGATACAGAAACTGAAACAGGGACACGAAGACGCCACGACCTCCATTTTCAATATCAAGATTTTCTATTCAGTCACGAAAAGCATAGAATGCGACTCGTTTAACAGTTACTTTGAAGATCACATGGAAGACTCGCGGTTGAGCTACACACTGGTACCCGTCGTCTCGTTGAAGAATAGTCACACCTATTTATCGATATGCGGGGTCAGGTTTCAGTGAACGAGAGGTGCGGGGGCTTCGGTACGATTGAATAAAGATCCTAAACGTGGGGCGCTAGTCTAAAGCTATCATCGTAACTATTTTTATTGATGCCTTTATAGCACTTGCCAGATCTAAGGGGGCTGAAGATCTTATTTTGTGGATCGAAGTTTTGTAAAGAACACTTTATTTTTAAGAATATTTTAATTAATAAAGAGGAAATAATGTTATATGATACAAAATGCGTTTTATTTTTCGCCGCCTGTAAAGGTTAGCTTTAACCCTTCCGCTGCGCAATTACTTCCCAGGTCCATGACCGTGGTGCGGTACTTTCTGGCGCGCTGCGTATATATACATCCAGAGCAGCTTACGGTAATATTTACAAAACAAAAATATTTGTTACATATGTTTATAAAGCAGAGACACTTAAGTTGTTCACAATAAAATTAAAACTGTTTTTGAAAATAAAAATTATTTTATTTTTGAAAAAAGAACGTATATATTTAAATGAATAAAACAAACTAGAATTTTAATATGTCAAAACAAATAAAAACAAACAAATACAAAACAAAAATCAAGAGAATTAAAACATTAGTAAAAAAAAAATAAACGTTTAAGCCGTCTAATATTTGCGTGTATGATACCTTTCAAAACAAAATAGACAGGCAAAGAGGAACATCGCACAGACTACACATATATCTGGTGTCGCTTCTTTTATTATGTTTTGCACATACAACGTATTTTCTCTGCGCTGTTTTTTTCTTGCCCGTTGCCAGTATTAGGGATATGAAGTGGCGTTCAGTTAGGCGCAACGGATTATCCCCATCTGCAGATCTTCCAGACCTGGATTCAGTTTGTGGTTCATGATAAACTTCTAACATTTGCTTTATAAGAGCCATTTGAAAATCCAATACAGAAATATTTTTCCATGTTACAGTTTTGAAAATGGCATGAGAGTAATTATAAATCCACCAAGTGAAAAAACAGTTTTTTATACCACTTGATCGATTTGCAAACACACTCCACAGAACTCAGTAGCATATCACTTCGATCTATCAAACCCATATTTTCATTATAATCCAATATGCATGCAGGTTTCTTTATTTCTTCTTGGGTGTTTCTATCTATAATTCCTGTAGGTCTCTGTACATTGGTGTGGAAAGTTGAGAGCATTCTAACATCTCTTTTATCTTTCCATTTTAGAGCCAAGAGGGCGTCTGTAGACATGCACTCAACTCGTCCTCTTTCTATCATTTTTGATAAAGGGGGCATGTTCTTTCTATTTTTTTTTACTGTTCCGCACACATTTGTCTTGTTCTCGTGCAACTAACAAAACAATGCTGGGCTTGTGTACTAGTTGTCCACGTACAATGAATGCCTCTTACCTAAATAAGTCTCTAGTAAAGTAATCACAATATGTCCAGATATTCCAATATCTGCAGTAAGATTTTCATTTTTTTTTTATTTCGGTTGACGCACCAACATATATGATGAAATCGAGTATATATCCAGTTTCATAGTTGCACAATATAAAAAACTTATTGGCCAATCCTGTGGCGCTTTGACGGTATATATTGCTTGAAAAATATACACCCTTTGAATAGAAGTAAACTCTCGTCTATGCACAATTATTGAAAATGATACAGAGTTTTGGAGAATACCATTCGAAGATGATGTAGAATACTTCTAAGTTTCTATAACACCATCATTTTCTGGTTTTGATGTATTATCTGCAAAATGGAGCATTCTCGGTAATAAAAGGTATCTGTCCCTCGCCATAATTTGAGAAAAAATAGGAGTAACTAACAACTTATTATTACTCCAGTAACTGTTTATTTTATTCTTTTTCACTTGAGACATAAGAAAATTGGTTGCCAGAAAACAATAGAGCTTGGCGGGATTTGTGTCTCTCCAGCGATTTATTCTAGGATTTTTTGAGATTTCTTCGGAATCACAAACATATTTGGCAAATAAATTAGTCTGTTGAGCAATACACTCCATTATGTCTTCATCAAAAAATATTTTGAAACAATCTAATAGGGTACATGACTCATCTAATTCAGGTACTTTACAACCAGAATTTGTATTCTCAAAATTATGAATCTGAGGATTTATTTGAAGTTGTCCATTATATAGGGACTTGTTTTTTTTAGGTGCCTCAGGTTGGTCTATAATTTCCTTTGTTTCGGATTCGGAACTAGAAGAAGCCTCAATTATCAGCCAAATCTTCCATAGATACATTTTGATGTTTTTTTGAAGTACTCGGACTTGCAGTCGGTTCATCCTCGTCGTACCAGCCGTATTTTTCTGATTCACCACTAATATTGCACTCGTTATCACTTTCACTGTTGGCTAAAATATCATACAACTCTTCATCCGTATAATAGTGCTTTCGTGTAAAACGTGCCATGTTAAGATTATTTGATAATTACAACATAGTGCATTCATCTACTAGTCCATACTGAAACCTGCAACGTGCAAGAACGTGTTCCGATCCCTCCCCCTAAATTTATTTGGGCGGCCGCTTAGCTGAAATTGGCCCGTGTACACATGCTGATTTAGCATATAAATACGGCGATATCAGCCTATCGTTATAGTTTTTCTATGAAAAACGTATATGTACGCCTGGAGCAGTTCTGACAGAAACGTATACGTCTGGAGCAGCGAAAGGGTTAAAAAATAAATTTTGAGAACCAAAAAAATGTGATAAACTTTTTGAAACTAGTAGGTGTGAGTGGTGTAGGTATATGTAACGTTGACAGAACATACGTATGCAACAAATTTATGTACATTTTTATTAAAACCCTTTAAAATATAATATTGCTTAATATCTTGTCAACATATCTGTACAATTAATATCCAATTGTTTTAAGATAATGTTATTTCCCAATATATTAAGCTCCATAATTACAATACAAAGAATCGAATTATTTGAAACGATTACTAAATAAATGCAAGACACCAAGTCCCTAATAATACAATTAAAGTTATATTTTTTATTTTGCAGGCCAAAGAAGTGGTTTATAAGTCATTTCAACTGTTGTCTTTTTATAAATACGCACTGAAAAAATTTGTATATTAAGTACTTGAACAGAAAATGTACCACTGTACGTTTTATGACCCACAAATCAAATTCTTTTATAAATTGTTAAAATGTTATTTCTCTTACTTATATTAAGCATAAAATATAAAAATAACAATGAAATAAATATGTAACAAATTGATAATTTTTTAAAATATCAGTTTTTTTATGAAATCTGAATCTGTATGTTCAGATTCAAAAAAAAAAACCTTTTAAATAAATAACAGACTGGAATAGTTTGTACACTTCTAGCTTCACATAAAACCATAAATGATTATTTAAATTATCCCTAATAACCATCTCCCATATAACATTCAATAAAACCTCTGTTAAAAATGAAAGGCAGCAGAACTTTACTCTTATTTAAAATTTTTCCATATGAATACAACTTTGACGAAAGCAATGAAAGATCGCATACACTTCCGTTTTTATTATTCGAACTTATCAGTACTGATGCAACGTATATAATAGTAATACTTCGCCTCCACCCAAACATAGGTTTATCCTTGGTAATTAAAACGACACACTGTTGGACAATTATTATAAATAATTTAAAATCTGCAATCTTCCAACCAAAGTGTCGAAAAATTAGTGCATAATTTTATATATTTTTCCTCACCTGAGCAACTCCGCCAGTCCCTTTGAGAGCGGCTTGTAAAATATTGCACATCGCAGCTTAAAACAAGAATTTAATGTTTTACGGACGACTGAAGCATCAATTTAAATAAATAAACATTTTAGAATGCAAATGGAACAGTTCAAATTCAATTTTACTTAAAAATACCCAAACTGAATCGTCTAGTATATATTCTTGTAACGTGGTCATCATTAAATAAATAAAAATGCAGATAAAGTAGAATATATATTTTAAAATACAGCCATTATGTACAAAAACTTCCAAAACAGGCACAAATAAAAGTCATGCCGCATTAAAATTATTTTATGATGACCAAACCCTAGACATTGTATATCCTTTAAGCACAATGACAAAAATATAAAATTTATACATTTATAAGTTTAAGTTCCATGGAATAACACCGGCTATTTTAAAAATATTAATACAAAGTAAAAAGCCAAAGACATCTTATAAAATTAAGTGCTTTCTGTATTTAATTTTACAGATTGGTATGTAAACCTCTCTTCTCAGCCTTTTTTCATGGGATGCGGTAGTACGACTTTAATCGTCCTTCGACTTGTCGCCAGTTGCAGACGGTTCGTCCTCCTCATCTGAATAGTTGGTTGGCTGTTCTCCCGGTTTCAACAGTCTACCAACTAGATCGTACTTCTCTGAAACCGAAAGGAATGTTAAACAGCTTTTTCTACAGGAAAGACACTTTTGAAAACAAATACATATTGTTGTTTTATTTGCACCAATTTTCAAACCACTGTTAAAGTAGGCGAACAGGTCAATTTAGATAGGTAAACTAACAATATGATGAAACACTTCTTGGAAAAAAAAAGACAAATTTTGAGACTTGAAATAGCAACATCATAAAATTTTACTTATGTGCAATAGCTCAAAAATTCTTATGGCACACTAAAAATCTTGACACCAGCTACAGCTAGCAGAACTTTTCATGGTACATTGAAACATTTTTGTGGAACATAAAATGCTATGGCATCCTATTATAAACTCTTACAGCACACTAAAAATTATTTAATTATTTTGGAACACTAGTACCCTACACCAGCAAAATTCGTCAAATGCACTAGAAATATTTGCAGTACACTAGTAATTTTTTTGGAACATAGTGTTATGGTACATTAGCAGAAATTCTTACAGAACACTAAAAATGTCTTTTGGAACACTAGTGTGCTGCGGTACATTGGCAAAAATTCTTCAAGTACATTTGAAATTTTTGCAGTACACTGGTAATTTTTGTGGCACACAGTATGCTGTGGCAACATGGCGGAAATTCTTATAGCGCACTAAACAAAATCTTTTGGAAAACTAATATGGTATGGTACAATGGGAAAAATTCTTTGAGTACACTAGAAATACAATACACTAGTAACTTTTGTGGAACGTTAATATGTTAGGGCGCCATGGCAAACATTATTACTTCACACTGAAATATTACTGTGGAATACTAGTGTGTACACTAGAAATATCTGCATTACACTGATAATCGAAAGTATAAATAGAACAAACATATGTAACAAGTTTATATACACTTATTTTTAAAACCTTTTAAAATACAGCATATAGTTTAATATTCTGTCAACATTTTTGTACAACAAAGTTCAATATCCAATTGTTTAAGTTAAAGTTACACTCAAAAACAATGATTGGTCAGTTACTATAATAGGCAAAACTATTATTAAATGACATCAATTAATCAGTCTATTTTTATTTAATAGTTCAAAGGACAAACAAATATGAGAATGTCAAGCATGTTATTTTCTGCATCCCAAAAAGAAACTATAAACTGTTACAGACGAAGAAAATAATGGACTTGTTTACACCACATTTATACCAGTCCACATAAAGTGCCAAATGTTATCTCGTCAAGCAAATATAAAAATAGGATCAGAAAAAAAGAAGCTACTTCAGATAAATTTAATTAGACGTATCAAATAATTACAAATCAATTTGTTAGATAAGTTAATTATATGCATAACACGAAAATATTAACTTCTCATTTTCTTCCGTTGTACAAATTGTCGAGAGATTGTGTAAACCACAATTTTCGCTGATAACAAATCCAGAGCATTTAAATTTAAGCTACCTCACAGTGTATGTGAATAAATTTTAGTATGTTTAAGTTCAAGGTTAAGTGCAAAGGTTAATATTTGCTAGGATTTTGTTCACAAAACAAGAATATTTAAGTAGACTAAAAAAGATATGGATCCTGACATAACAACTTTTACTATACTATATTAAACCCCATTCATTCTATCTCTAAAAAATCTTTCTGTCATTTCAAATTATCAAAATACAAGAAATATAAAATAGGATAAAGTAAAACTATAAAACTGTCTGTAAAATATTATATACCTTATATATGTAGTGAGGTAAATTTATATAAACAATAATTATTTACAAATGAAAACAGTAAATGGTTGTATTTCTGATCAAGACAACTTGTAACCTTAGACCTCATGGTCATTTTTTTCAATAGAGTAATAATAAGTCTGTTAAAATATCCTTTATTTTTTATCTACTGCTTGCCATTCAAATTGAAAGCGTATTAAAACTTGCTGTAAATGTAATTAAAAGAAATGTAAACCTGAAAATGATAGTTGAACATATTTACATAAATTTAAATTATTAATAAGTAGTTGAAAAATTGAGAACAACAATACTGTCCCAAACGATTGTTCCTATTCAGAATGAATTCAATGTGTCTATTAATAATACATTATTTTAGCATATAATTTATTATTATAATCAGACTCATTTCATATGTACAAATATTAAGTTTCAGGTCATAAAAAGTTATAAATAAATAAAGTATGTGATTCAAAATTTGGGATGACTTGTCAATTAAACATACAAACTAGTATTGATAAAGATGGAGACTATTTTTTAATACACTTAAAATCGTGCAGTATCATTGTTATGAAATGATTTGCAACCTTTCAGACAGATTCCATCTAAATATTTTTATGTAATATCTAATTGAACGACAATTACCTGATTTTACACAAAATCTATTAACAAGAAATAAAAGATAGCAAAGAAAATTTGTTTTAATTACTTCTTTCACACTATAATCAACAATTAAAAGGAAGTTAAATATTAGTTAAACCAAGTTTTCAAATACCTGTAAAACTGTTAACAAGCTAATACAAAATACAAATAATTAGTATTCTAATGTTTTGATTTTTAAAAGTTCTTGCATATTTATTTTTTGAATAGATAATTGATTTAGTTTGGTCATTCTAATGGGTGATAAACCTTTACCTTTAAACTGTGATTCCCACTCCCTAACAGAATCCATTTCGACTGTGCTCAAGTCGCTTAAGTCATCGTAGCCTTCACCAGCAGCTGACACTGAGAATGTAGCCAAACCTCTGGATGCATCTTTTCCTCCAAACGCTGCGTATGGGCCCCCTGAAGCAAAAATAGACGTTAACTGAAGTTTAAAATAAAAAAATTTGTATGTAAAAATTATCAACAATATTATAATATTTCTAGAGACTTTAACAATATGTAATGACCTACTTCTCAAGAAACATTTCTACAATATGTCGAAATAAGTACTTGTTTTTTTTATAATTGAAAAAATCAGAAGTATTTCTAGTAAAAATTCTACTTAATTTTGCGCATAACATTAAATACCGATGTGCAAAACAGTATGTAATACAGACCGATATCCAGATTACATAGTACAACTAATAGATGTGACATCATATTTCTGTAACTTGATAAATATCGTACCTGGACCGTAGAACCTTTTTCCTTTGGTAACATCGTATACACTGCCATTCACAGCCACTAAAACTCTACCGTCCTCCTGGGTACCATCGTACTTCTTCAACTCTTCCACTGTAAAGTCTCTTTTCTTCAGTTTCGGCAAGTCCGGGACGACTTGTCGAACAGGAGTTTCGGTTTGGCGGCGGAATATTTTATATAACAAGAAGAATATGAGGAACACTAGAGCGAGATTTATAGGGCTTTGGACTATTTCCAAAACTATATTTGTTAGAAGACCCGACTTTATTGTTGATTCGGCCATGTTGAGAACTGACTTGACAAGTTTACGTTTTTTCTTCTACACCTTGAATTTTGATGCCGTGATGTAGTGGCCAACCTGCACATGCGTCAAATCAGGCGTCAAATGATCAGGCTGACCAACATACGGCAGTGAGTTAAACTGATATAGAATGAGCTATGAGTTGTTATGTTCTTTTCCGAGTTTTCAAACACTGTATCTGAACCTTCGAGCATATACTACTAGAGGTAGCATGCCATTACGAAAAGTGTGGCTGAGTGTGCGAGAACACTTCCTGGAACACTTTCCAACGATTACAATTATAAAATTTAATGGGCCTATTTCTAATGGTAAGGGAGAGATGACGGAATGAATGTGCTATATCCAATAGACATATAGCTTCCTACCTACTACGACTATAAACTATAAGACAACCGGATGCCGGATATCAGTCGAACACAGCGGCGTAACTAGATTATATATAGAGATATATGATAATTGAATTAAGATGTTGAGATATATTAGGCTATATTTTTTAAATCCCAAAATGTTTAAAATAAATGTCCACCCGTGCGAAGCCGGGACGGGCCGCTAGTCATTAATAATTCGAGATAGTGGCTGAGCGCGCGGCCTGACGCGTCGACAGAGAGCCAGACAATTACATAATCCCCCCCGCAACACCTGACGAACTAAGACTGACAATACGCAGACTTAAAAACAGAAAAGCCCCCGGACCCGACAATATACATAACACGACACTTAAACGACTACCACACAAGGGCCTCATGGCCCTACTAAACATAACAAACGCGACACTCAGACTAAGACACTTCCCTACCCGCTGGAAAACAGCAAACATAATCCTTATCCCAAAACCCAACAAAGATCACACCATCCCATCCAACTACCGGCCCATTAGCCTGCTCCCGGCTATGAGCAAAGTGGTAGAAAAAATTATCCTAACCCGTCTAAGAACCCACTCCCAAGAACTGCAAGTCATTCCAGACGAGCAGTTCGCCTTCCGACCCAATCACTCCACTGAACTCCAAATCCTTCGCCTTACCGAGCACATCACGGCGGCCTTCAACAGGGGACAGTACACTGGTGCTGTCTTCCTGGACGTCGCAAAGGCCTTCGATACGGTTTGGCATGAAGGCCTACTGATGAAAATGCTCACCAACCAATATCCCATATCCTTTACCAAACTCATAAAATCCTACCTACACCACCGAAAATTCCGCATCCAAATCCAAGATTCCCTTTCCACCACCCGTCCCATGGAGGCCGGTGTCCCCCAGGGCACCGTCCTGTCCCCACACCTATACACCATTTACAACTCCGACATCCCACATCCCCCCAACACCAACATATACTTATACGCCGACGACCTGACAATCACATCCCAATCCGTAGATCCTAGATATTCCGTCTACCTCCTCCAAAGCTCCTTAGACCAACTTGAAACCTGGTGCAACAGGTGGAAAGTCAAAATTAATCCCAACAAAAGTTCGGCTATCCTTTTTACCAAACGAAAAATCCCACAAAACCTTGACAGACTGACACTATCCCAGGAACCCATCTCCTGGAATCGACAAACACGATACCTGGGCGTGACGATGGACCAGCGTCTCACGTGGAAACCGCACATCGTGGAGACGGTGGCGCGAGCGAAGACCACCAGGGCTAGGCTCTATCCCTTACTCAAAGGTGGAAACACCCTCAGTTTAAGGAATAAGCGAACGCTTATCAAGGTGGTACTTCAACCGCAGCTAACCTACGCCTCCACGGCGTGGGGTCACGCGGCAAAAAGCCACTTAAAGTCATTACAGGCTGTGGAAAACATAGCCCTCCGCACGGCCACCGACGCGCCCTGGTACGTAAGAAACACTGACATATTACGAGACTTACAATACACAAACGCTACACAGACAATAAGACAAAACGCGGAGAAACGATTTGACGTAGCCGCTAGACATGACAATCCCCTCCTCAGGCAAGCCGTTGACTACGTACCCGACGTGACCGACAAACACAAAAGACCTAGACACCAACTTTTTGACCCTGGGTGACCACCCCAATGACCCCCCCCCTGCCCGCTAACCTTTTCTGTTTCAGAGACAGCCAGGATCAAGAAACGAAGACAACGACACACACACACACACACACACACACCCCCCATACCCTCCTTAACCCTCCCCTCCCGCGCTAGCCTAAGGGCCACCTTAGCAAAGCGCATCCCAGGCTGCATAGCCGCACTACCCTACCCAACCATACCACACATAAACATGACACTACCCCCGGGGTTTACACAGACGAGCCGGCGAAGCAAGAAGAGCGCCAGAAGAAAGGGCCCTAGCCGGCGGGGCCCAGCCAGGACAAAAGGAGGTCCCACAAAGCGCCTACACCGGCCGCATTTGCGGTCGGGGTAGACGACGGATGGGGCCCACCTACGAAGGCTGTCCAGGCCTACACGAGATGAGGCAGGATAAAGAGGGATAATCCCCCTCGATCCCAAATCATTGAGGCCAATTTCTAGCCATGGAATAATGGCGCGCAGTCATTAATAAAAATTATTCACTAGGTTTTTTGTATAAATGTTTTGATTTATCAAATCAATCGTCAAATTCTTAAGACTTCTTTGGACGATATTCAAACTATTTACTTTTCAAGTAGAGCATTTTGAAAATCTTTTTAAATTTCTTCTTTAATAAGTAATGTTCTTCTTAACACAGACTAAATTGATTTTAAAATAAATTGCTGTAAGAGGTTTGACTTTCACGACTTTTATTCAAAATAATCCAGTCACACTTTATCACACGTCGTTGTTGTCAGTAATGAATGTAAAGTGAAAAATACATTTTCTTGTATACATTTATTTAATAAAAAGTATAATAGGGCACCATTTGTTGCAGTTGTCATTATTATATTCACCAATTGTCGGTAATAAATTAATAATGTTGATTTTAGTTATTCTAAGATGAACAATAGGTAGATACAGTTTTAACGAATAAACCGATTTGTTATTCGTTCTAGGATTTTGTGAAAAAAAATATATATATACAGGGCGAGTCAAAATTCACTCCCCAGCGGCCGGATATATATTCTAAAATAAAAAATAAAACAAAAATGTAGAATACTAAAATCTCGAAAGCGAAGCCGTTTTCGAATAAATTTTAGTTCAATAAATGCGCAATTTTCGACTGACTAATCAAGTTGGCCGGACAAAAACAGAATGGTGAAAATTACAGTAATTTTTGCGAGAACATTTTGCCAGGTTTGTTAGAAAATATTCCTCTACAACAACGTGCAACTATGTGGTTTCAGCATGATATGGTGCGCCCGCACATGCCACATTACAAGTACGACATATTTTGAACCGCCGTTTTCCTAATATATTGATTGAACGAGGTGGACCAACACCATGGCCACCCCGGTCTCCTGACTTGACTCCGATAGACTTTTGATTATGGGAATACAGAAAAGAAAATGTTTATGTTTGCCTGTTGGCGGGGATGATGTTATTGACAGGATTCATGAAGCAGTAGCGGAAATAAATGAAGCTAATTTCTGTTCTGTTGCCAGGAGTTTCTACTACAGATTGCAGAAGTATATTAACGAAAATGGTAATGTTTTTGAAAGTTAGCCAAAGCCAGAAGGATCTTCGTTTTTGCTATTTCTTATTTTGTATGGATTTTAATGGTGTTAATATTAAACAAAAAAATTATAAATTTGAATTTTTCTTTACAAAATTTTCCGAAAACGGCTTTGTTTTCGGATATTATTCTACATTGTTGTTTTATTTTTTATTTTAGAATATATATCCGGCCGCTGGGGAGTGAATTTTGACTCACTCTGTATATATCCGATTCGTCTCATCCCAAATCAAGAAACTTATAGAGACAGACTACAACTATAGTTTCCAAAAGTATAGTGAATCGGGGCACCTACTTAACTATTCCTTTCACCTAGTTCAACAAATTCTATCTCTTGATTCTGCCGCTCGTCTTTAGTTGGAGATACGAACTTCAACAAGAAAATTCTTTTCACGGAAGTTGGTATTTTAAGGAATTTGGGATAATAAATTTCAAAAACCAGCATATTTATGCAGGGAAATATACCAATATCGTTATGAAAAATTATTTTCAGCGTGAATTTAATACAAATATGCGGATTGGTTTTATCGGTAATTTTTTACTTGATTCTAATCTTGAAACAGAAAGTGTACTGTGTGAGCATTGAATGACGGACAACTGCAGAACAGGACGGGAGATGCTGTTTACAATTTGCTGAAAGATGAAATACCGAGAAAAGTGCGTTTTAATATTTTGCGTAGAATTAATTTTTAACAAACCCTTCATCTTTAAGACACAGCAAAAATAGAAGCTATAGAATGATCCCTGACAAAATTCTGAGAAGAGTTCAGAGGAAGGGGTATTTTTAACAGTCCTGTTAATCTAAATGTACAGTCTAATCGCATGATCAGCTAATTAACCTTTAGCCGAGACTTACTGAGAGAAGCCGAGAAGTACTGAGCCTTAAAAATATATATTTTTTTACGTTTACTTTGACAACCTCTAGCAACACGCTCATTCGCAGAAAACTATGGTAGCTCCATGTACACGAAATATTGGAGCATTCTGTATATGGCGACCAGAAACCTATGCTTATTGATACTTTGTTTCTGTTTATAATACTATAAACGTCAAAATCGCTAATTTTAACAATACTTCGAAGGAGTTTTCGAAAAAATATAGTTTGATATACAGTTGCGTACCTACGCACTTTTGCATTCTCGAAAGTTTTTTTTTACTCGATAGCAAAATAATTTTCCATTCTCGAATAAAAATCGGTACTTCGCAACATGTAAGCAGACATTGTAACTATCGAGATTTTCATAACCTAAATACTTGAATTATTTTTTCCTGTTACGTTGTACAGGATGTTCTACACGCTCTATGATAAATTTTGACAGATGGTAGCTGTATTAATTTCAAACCTTTTTTCTTATATGAACATAGATCCGATTCGTTCTTGTTAGTTACAAGAATTTAAAAAAATATTTTATATTCCAATCAAAGTAACCTGATTAATAAAATTGATGGTTGCTATAGCAATAGTTATTATTTGTGTTAAAAATTTAAACATCAGTTAACCTTTATTAACCAAATTAACAAATCTTAAGGCTATAAAAATTGTTCAAAAACGGATGTAACACTTCTCTTAAAACAAATTTTCTTAGCTATCTTTTATTTCCTGTTGATAGATTTTGTGTACAATCAGGCAATTGTCGTCCAATTAGATATTACATAAAAATATTTAGATGGAATCTGTCTGAAAGGTTGCAAATCATTTCGTAACAATGATACTGCACGAATTTAAGTGTATAAAAAATAGTCATCAACTTTATCAATACTAGTTTGTATGTTTAATTGACAAGTCATCCCTAATTTTGAATCTCATACTTTATCTATTTGTAACTTCTTATGACTTGAAAGTTAATATGTATTTGTCAAAATGAAATGAGTTTATAATTATATGCTAAAATTATGTTGTATTATTAGTAGACACATTGAATTCATTCCGAATGGGGACAATCGTCTCAGACAGTACTATTGTTCTCAATTTTACAACTTTATTAATAATTTAAATTTATGTAAATACGTTCAATTATAATTTTTAGGTTTACATTTCTTTTTAATTACATTTATAGTAAGTTTCAATACGCTTTCAATTTTTCTTCAATAGTATTCATTTTTTATTTAACGCTCTAACGCTAAGTATCAAATGAATAAACAAAATGACACAAATAATAATTATTGTTATAGCAACCATCATTTTTATTTATCAGGCTACTTTGATTGAAACATGAAATCCATATTTTTTAAAATACTTGTAACTTCTAAACAAAAACCAATAGGACCCACGTCCATATAAGAAAAAGTGTTTGAATTTAACCCAGCTACCATAAAGATACTTAATATTTAAAGCTTTGCATCACGAAAATCACGACAATATCAAAAACTCCGAGAGTCTTTCAAAGCAAATAAAAAATTTAGTCATGATTCGCGAAGGATTCGATTGCCACCTAAAAATAACCCCATTGTACCGACGATCCCGCCGCCTCCTGTCAACTGTACGCGGGAGAGGGCCGAATCAGGCCAAGTAGAGAGGACGCGCACCAGAGGCGCAAAACGCCAGCATCCCCGTAAGGAGTTATTGATCAGAAGTGCGCCCTCGTCTCCACGCCCGCCCGCTGTCGCGAAATGCCCGTGCCGACGAGGCCCCCCAAGTCGCTCCGCCGCGGCCCCAACTAGCATGTGACGCGAGGATGGCCACGTCCAGCGATGGTGCGGGAGTTTCTCATACCGTGGGACTCAAGAGGTGGCTCGAATGGTGGAAGTTCCACACCGGCTATTTGATTCAGTTCCCCGGCGCCGCGTTCCGTACCTGAGACGATCGTACCGCTTTCCAGTTGACGGGTTTTGTTTTCCTCCAGCCAACACACAACGCACAAACTCAAACGTATCCTACTACTTAGAGAAGAAACTTCAAGTCCCCATGTGATAGTACTTCCACTGGAGGTGGTTCTGTTCGTCGAAGCATCGTTCCTTTCCAAACAGTACGTATTCGCATTGGTTTTGGTGTTGCATGCCTCCAGCACACGCCTAGAACAGGTGATATTGGCCTACATCCCCACAGTCAGCCTTATCGTCCGACCAACTAGCGGTTTTGTCTCTAGGTCGAACTTTTCCTGTTCCAAAATTGACGACCAAAAATGACCAACAATAAAGCTGACTATTTTTCCAACTTTATTATTACCAACAATGTTAAATCCTTTGAAAATAAGGCACAAAAAGTGTACTCTATTGAACCAGTCACTAAATCCTTAATTATTTATGTTAAAAAACCTGTTTTCATAACACCCGTAGGACTTGCCACCAATGACATGTTTTTGTACTCCGATTTATAGGTGTTTACACGACAAATTTGCAATTTTTATGCTATATTTACTTAATTTGAATCAAGATTCTGGTGGTTTGGTGTGGACATTTCTCTATTCAAACTGGGTACGTTTGCTTTTATGTCTCTAGATGTGTGGCGTTTCTCCATGCCCTTATTGCACACGCCTAAAACAGATGATCTTGGCCTATATTTCTGTAGCTCTTACAGTTACCTACCTTATTCAGTCATTAAAAGCTAAATCGGAATAAACTGTGAGCAGATTATATTAGAGCAAATGTTCGTTTTCAAGTCGTATTGAAAACAAAGAAATAAAACAATTTGTTATTCGGTTGTAGGTACTAACATTGATCATGCTTTACAGAACACAACGCCTAATAATGGCTGTTAAAGTACAACGTTGAAAATCAATTTGTAGTTAGCTAAATGCTGTACTGTAGGTGATATCAAGCTACTGAAGATTCTTCCCAAAATAAATCCCTATAGCCACCCTTACGGACGATAACTGGCGAATTTTCTTTAAAGAAAAAAACCGACAAAACTAGTCAGGTTAATTTCCATAAATGATGACCCAGAAGTAACTAAAATTAAAACTAAACATTCCAACCTGTCAATACCTCCACTTTATTACACACATGATCATAACTCAAAACAATCAATTGAAACAGAACGCAAAAAGTGCTCTATAGAACAATATTAGTGCTAAATTATCAATTAATTATGTTGCAAAACCTGTTTTAACAACACTATTTATGACTTTCCATAGTTAGTTGCAGTGGACAAATACTCTTTAGAAATTTAAAAATAATAAAATAGTATTCGTACCAAACAGCTGAGACTTGCAAAGCGAAATAACTATAACCGATTATATTTGACATGCTTTTGAACTGGCCCATTCCGATTTATAAGTATTTACACGAGAAATTTGAAATTTTTTACGTATTTATTTCTTTATTTTGAATCAAGATTCTGGTCTCCTGTTGTGGACATTTCTCTATCCAAATTGTACACGTTTGCTTTTATGTCTCTAGATGTGTTGTATGAAGTTTCTCCATACCCTTATAGCATACGTCTAAATAGCTAATCTTGGCCTATATTTCTGTAGTCCTTACAGTTACGTTATTCCGTAGGAATAGACTGTGATACTTTATATTAGATTTTTGTTTCATCCTAGTAATATTTCTTAAAGTAAAATGATGCTGTTTTTTTCAAATGCAAATTATTAAGTTTTAGAAGAAAACTTAAATCAATTATTTATCTCATAAAAACTATTTTCGTAACACCAATGAGATGTAGTGGTAACTGAATTGACTTCTAGCGGCATTATAGGTAAATATCTACCAATACAAGATATCTTCGTAAAACAAGAGAATTAGAACCAAGAAGGTAAAAAGAAACTGAAACCAAACATATATTTTAAATAATTTCTTTTGATTTGCGTTCGGAGTATAAATTCTAATACTTCCTCGTTAGATCACTAGAAGCAGAACGGGATAGATGCTCTAATTAGAGTTTTGGTTTTCAGTCGCACTAATAACGAAGAGATTTAAACAATTGTAAACTTAGCTCATATCCTCCTATTCAGTTGTATTAAGAACAGTGAAGTCTAAAATATAGAGCAATATTAGGTTTTGAACTGAAGAAATTTGATAATTCTTAGTCACAAAACAACAATATTAAAAGGGAGACAATGTCAAAAAAATCTATTTAAAAAGAGTTAAAAACATCCTCACCACTTTTTAAAAAAATTTCAATGTATAAAACGTATATTGGAAGACTAGGATTATAAATCTTTTTGACAATATCTTCAAATAATAAAACTATCTTTTTCTTTTCCAGATTATTGCCACCTAAATCATGGTGGATCTAGGAGGCTATGTAATCATTCTGGTCGAAACCAAGGACAAAAAAATCAAACTATACGGTAAGTGTAATGTATTCACAATTTTTTTATGTTAAGCAACCCATATTTAAATATAATGCTCATGTAAAATCTTTAGTGAAAAAAATGTACATATATAATGACTTAGTTGAACTTTCATTTATTAGTCATTACAAATTACTAAAAAATATAAGTAATTGCTACTATTACAGCCATTTTTGTGATAGAAGTGAATGTCCTTTGAGTAGACGTAGCCAATTATCATTACTTCCTATACAGAGCTAGTCATGATTGACAGTCCAGATGTAGCGACAACTATTTTTTTTATTACCATGTGATTGCTGACTAAAAACGCAATTTTTTTATTGCAGGTTCACCTGCTGACAAAGATAATTTGGAAGTCGGGGATGAAATTCTCGAAGTGAATGGGAAGACCCTGGAAGATGCCACCCATACTGAAGTAATAAGTCATATACACCAGGTGGGCTTGATTTTCAATTAAAATTTATTTTTTCTTTATTTTACGTTTGATTATACAAAAATTACCAAGTTTGCAACTTAGATATTTGTTATAAAAATATTCTTTAAATTTATCGGACACATTTAGAAGCTTAGATGAGCTGTACAATATTTTTTAAAGAAATTTCAACTTTTTTACGTTGGCAAAAAAATATTTCTTACACTTTTGTTAGTACATGCTTTATCTAGATAAAAATTTTGATTTGTTTCTGTAATACTGAAACTAATATCATTTTCAGTGTATAAGATCGCGTACAATATGCCTCAGGGTAAAAAGGAGAAGTGGTGCACGCTTGGGTAAGTAATTCAATAAATTCTCGCAATTTCTTATGATTAGAAATAATTAAAGGACTTTAACATAGTTTCCAATTTCATGTAATATATGCATTGCATGTCATGTTATCGCAGATAAATAAATCAAGCTATTTTTAAACAATTTTTTCTCTCGGTGTAGATTTTAATTAATATATAAATTATGTGTGTCCCAGTTGTACTGAGAAAAATAGTGGGGTTAGATCATATAACATTTTTCTTATTAACATTGCGATTCCAAGATAGAGTGTTAGAATTCTTCTTGCTGGAGAGGGTTTTTCTTAATTATTTTTAATTTACTAGGGATAAAAATAAAATTATCCAAATCTGTACACAGACAAATACCAACCGTGTCATAAACAATTTCATGACTAATTGCAATGGCGTGGATGCGGGTTCTTTGAGGGAAATAATTGGAAAAATATGTTAAAACTCAAAATTTCTTAGACATCCTATCCTTGCAAACCCACAAAGGATAATATAGAAAAGCATACTAATTGAAAATGAAGATAAAGATCCTGGTCACAGAAAACAGCTGAAGTAAATTTAAAAATACTAACATAAAAAAGGATTCAGTATAATTTAATAACACAAATTTTAATTGTTAAAAAACAAATACTAAAATTATTAATTTTTAAAGTTTTAGCCTACGAAGATATAATGTTGTAATTTCAATATTTGTCAAAGTTTAACAGATAAGTTAAAGAATCATATTGAACAACCATTTAAAAACTGAAAAAAAATACAGAAAGCAAAAATTAACTGTACTGACGTACCGTAAACTTTGCCTTTCGTGAATCCCCAAAATCAAAAATCTAAAATAATCAGATCGGATCACCTGGCAGACCTATTTTCAGCTGCAACTTGCCCACGTCCTATTCTTCACCCAGCAAACTGGCTGTTAAGGAAATACAGCACAGTTTGAGTGTAATGTGGCGGCTCTTTTAATATTCAAGGGCACATATTCTTAATAGATTTGGTACAGTATGTTCTAAGAAACTTAGATACTAAACACTATTCAAACGTGACGGCAGCTCAACAGGTCCTAATAAATGAACATCGATAATTCAAGCCCAAACATTAATAGCAAATTGATTATGGTACACAATTGTTGCCTTTGGATTATCGACACTCCATTCATGACTTCTATAAATTTATTTCAACTTTCGTAGATGTGGCTGTTGCGGAAGTTTTCGTTTTGTTTATTGCTGAACCAGTTATAAAAATATAGTCAAAAATTTTTGTGAATTATTGTTAGATAATAAGGCCGTTATTGGTTGTTCTCTTAACGTTCTATGAACTGTAGACTTTGAAAATCTGATTTCAGCAGCAACCAGCACACTTGTATGAACTGAATCCATAAACTTTTTTATTTTTCTTCATCTTCAGTAAAGTCGTAACTCCACTCTGAGAATGATGACAAAAAATAAATGACTGCTGTATGAACAATACTTTTTGTTAATATTTTTGAATATATCTACCATTTTCTGTAAGCAAAGATCTTTATTTTATTTGAAAAACGTACATTTATCAACTATTAAACCTTTTCCTTGTATTATTCTTTGGAGTTTGCGAAGTGGTTGGAATGCTTAAGAAATTTTGTATTTTAACATAGTTTCCTTCAATTATACACTGAGAGAAATCTATCAATACGAAAATTTTACTAAGATAATCTGTATTATAATAGTAATTTTTTTATTAATCTTAGAGTATCATGTATCTTTGTGCCTATAATGTTCATAAGTTATCACCTTTGTTTTATATTTAAATAGTAAAAAGCAAGGGATGGTGAGACTCCAATTACACAGACCAACAAAATTTAACTTTTTTGGGAAGCAAAAACTTGAATATATACTTCTGAAGGATTTAGGTGCGCTGAATCCGAATCTGGCAGCAGAATTGCTCTATCACGTCAGGTTTTTGAGATATCCTTACCTAAAAGTGCAAAAACACTGTTTTTCGTCATATTTGATGATTCGGATTCAACGCACCAAAATCCTTCGGGAATGTATATTAGTGTGTCTGCTTCTCGAACCTTGTTGACCTGTGTTATAGATATATTGTTTTTTACTTTTAATTTTTTAAATATAATGGGAAAGTTTAAAGGCAAAGCTAATAATTGAATCTGATTAAGTGCATATAGCATTTATTAGTGTCTAAAAAGTCATTTAGTTGAAGTAAAAAAAAAATATATTTGTTGGTATTGTCATAACACTCATCATAGTAGAATGACAACTTAACAACCGCAATTAAAACTTTTGCTAGCGTAAGAATTATATTATAGCTACCGTAATGGAAATATAGGATTGCAACAATAAATAAAAAGCAGATATTTCGTTATGGTTAATCAATTTCTACTTAGGGCTTAAGGAAATTTGTATCAGTGTACCATTTATCCACGCCACTGTTGTTGAGAATAAAATTGTACACGCGTTTTTCTTAAGACACGATTGATATTTATTCGTGTAGAAAGTTCATCTTCATCTTTAGCCAATTTAAAGATATTTAAGAAAAACGCTCTTCAAAGCAACACTCTTAACAACACCCTATATCTTGGAAGAGTAAAATAAAATACGTTATACTTTTTTTTGTAGTATTAACGGGACACTCTGTATAGGTATTTTTATAACTTTCTTGTGTATTTACTTTTATTTAGATATATTTTATTTAACTCGTCACTGAATTTCATGTTGGTTCTCGACCAGACAGAAGTAATAAAATATACGTCCATGGGGTGGAAAGTTCGTCGTCATCTTATAAATCTTGTAGATTAATTAAGCGTGAAACTCTGGCCGTCTTACCATCTTCCCGAAACTTTTCATAATATATTAATAAGCAGCAATCTAGTTGCCTCGGCAATTCTTCCTAATGTGGGACTTAGGGGTACCGTTTTTAAGATAAAACCGATATCGCCGCAGATATCGTTATATTGTTCTCAGTCAATTTCACGCCTTTTTATCATTCCTACTAAATTAAAGAAAGAAGTAACGCTTTTCTTTCGGTTTTAAATATTTTAGTATTACCAGAACACCCACCAAAACCTTGAAAAACTTTTCAGTTGCTAGGGAAGCAACTAACAATACACGTAGGTGTATAACTTGTTGCTTACAATGGAAAAACTCTGATTAAATATGAAAGATCTTTTTTACATCAAAAATGAAGACGAAAGAATGAGAATAAATTGATTTACAGTCCCTTTACTTCAATAACAATTTTCTACACATTTTGCACCATTTAATTTTATTGTTGTCAGCTTTACTACATAATAACTTTGAAGACTTTAAATTAGTGTATGTACATACGAGGGTGGTCTGAAAAGTTTCCGACCTCAACATGAAGATGGCAGTACTCGTAAATAAAAGCTAGTGAATTTCGTTATTCATTTTGACAATTACTCACCAAAGTTTCAGCCATTTTGGTCGCGCAGTTGTTATGTAAGTGTCGTTTGAGTGAGTTGATGCGAGTGTTTTTATGAAAATGGACAAAATCGAGTATCGAGCTGTCACTAAATATTTGTTTTTGAAAGGCAATACGCCTACGCAAATCAAAGATGAATTGGATTCTGTGTATGGGGACTCTGCACCATCATTTACCACAGTGAAACTTTGGCCGTAAGAGCTTGGGAGACGATGAACGTTCGGGACGTCCAAAAACTGCAACTACCGACGAAAACATCGCCAAAGTTCACCAAATGGTGCTAGACGACCGCCGAATTAAAATGAGAGAGATAGCATAGGTTATTGTCACATATTAAATCAACATTTAAACATGAGAAAGCTGTCCGCGCGTTGGGTGCCGAAAACGTGTTCGAATGAACATTTCCAATGCTCTGCTCTGTTGGCGCAGTAGATGAAACTTGGATACACCATTATACGCCTGAAACAAAAATACAGTCCAAACAGTGGACTGCAAAGGGGAACCGGCTCCAAAAAAAGCAAAAACTGTTTTTTCGTCTGGGAAAGTGATGGCGACTGTTTTTTGGGATAGTCATGGAGTTATTTTAATCGATTATCTTCAAAAAAGAAAAACCATTACAGAAGCATACTACGCATCATTACTTAACAAGCTGAAGGCAGAACTTGCGGAAAAACGGCCACATTTCCAAAAAAAGAAAATCCTGTTTCACCAAGACACCTCAGCGGTTGCCATGGCGAAAATCCACGAATTACGGTTTGAACTGCTTGACCATCCGCCTTACTCACCAGATCTAACCCCAAGCGACTTCTTTTTGTTCCCTCATCTAAAAATTGTGCTCGGAGGACAGAGATTTTTGTCAAATGAAGAGGCAATCACCTTCGCGATCAATTATTTGCAGAGAAAAACGCCGAGTACTATTTGGACGGGTTACAGAGATGGGAGCATCACTAGAAGAAGAGTGTAGAGTTACAAGGAGACTACTTTGAAAAATAAAAAAAAAAAATCTGAAAAAATGTCTTGTATCTATCTCAAATTTGATGCAGAACATTACTGTCAAATTTTAGCGTGTCATATTATTTTGAAATTTAACTATAAGATGGCTATGAGAAGGTAATAATGACAAATAATTTTCAAAATCGTATGACACATTTGGTAGGAGTTTTTTCAAAACGTTCGACTTCTATTTTCTTAATTAAAATTGTAAAAATATTGATAATCATAATCACAACATTTCTAAAATTTTGTTTAGTAAAAGAAGAAGAAGAAAATTATACAATTTACTAATTCGCGCCATTATTCCATGGCTAGAAATTGGCCTCAATGATTTGGGATCGAGGGGGATTATCCCTCTTTATTCTGCCTCATCTCGTGTAGGCCTGGACAGCCTTCGTAGGTGGGCCCCATCCGTCGTCTACCCCGACCGCAAATGCGGCCGGTGTAGGCGCTTTGTGGGACCTCCTTTTGTCCTGGCTGGGCCCCGCCGGCTAGGGCCCTTTCTTCTGGCGCTCTTCTTGCTTCGCCGGCTCGTCTGTGTAAACCCCGGGGGTAGTGTCATGTTTATGTGTGGTATGG